CTCTGACAGTGCTATTTGGTGAACTAAGAACTGAGGTGAGGTGATTGTCACTTGGAGAAAAAGATCTCCCTCTTAAAAAGTTCTCTCAGAGTCCCTTTCATGTCCCTGTTCCTCAGGCTTTAGATGGAGGGATTCAACTGTGTACATCACTGAAGCAATTATGTCTTTGTCATTGGAGTTGTTTGATCATAGGAAAAATGCACAGAGCCATAACTGTCCTATAGAATAGAAATGCCACAGAGAGCTGGGAGCCACAAGTGGACAAGGCTTTACAGATCCCCTTGGTAGAGGGAACCCTCAGGATGAACACCCCAATGCAGACATAATAGACCAGGATGCCAGTCAGTGGTATAATGATTCCCAGTACCCCCACTGGGAAGTGAAGATGACCACCTCATTGATGGAAGTGTCATAGTGGGACAACTTGAGCAGAGCAGCAAGATCATGAAAGAAATGAGAGATAGTGAGAGTGTGGAACAATGTGCTGCTACATGAGAATAACCAGGACACAGCCACTGGTGAGACATACAGGTTTTCTCACACGATAGTGGTGTAGTATAGATGACAGATGGCCACATATGTGTCATATGCCACCACTCCAAGGAGATTATCAATACAACAAAAGAAAGAAAGAAAGAAAGAAAAGAATACATCTGTGTTATACACCCTGCATATGGGATGGATTGATCTTGAGTATACATATTTATCAGCATATCAGGGATGGTGACAGATGAAAAGGAGACATCTGTGAGGGCCAAGTGGCTGAGGAAGAACTATATGGGGGTGCGGAAGTGAGAGTCCAGCCTGATGAGCAGGATGAGTAGGTTCCCCAGCACTAAGGTCAGGCACATGCCCAGCAACACACCCTGTTGCTCCAGCTTTATGGGGGAGCCCAGGAAGAGGAACATGCTCTCATTTTCCCTTACATTCTGCTTTTCTGTCTACTGGGAGTAAAGGGATAGGGAAATGTCAGAGACTTTGGAAGTCGATAATGGCCACCACTACCATTTCTTATTTTCTCCTGGAAAAAAAAAAAAAAAAAGCCTGAATTTCATTGATTCACTAGTGTTGTCCAAGCATGAGACACACCCTTAATGCCCAACATGATTCCTTTCAGTGGAAACCAGAGCAGAATTTTTTTTTTAATATAACCTACCATGTTCCTAGCACTGTGCTACTAATTGGAAATACAAGAATAGGACACACAGGGCATCTTCTCCCATGATGCTGACCCTCCAGAGAACGCCTGATAGAAGACAGACTTAAGGTATGGATCTACAGCCAGAGTGCTGTATCAATGGAATATTATTCAGCCATAAAAAATAATGAAATCTTGCCATGTGCAGTGTGACATGGATGGAGCTAGAGAGTATAATACTAAATGAAATAAGTCAGACAGAGAAAGACACATACCATATGATTTCACTCATATGTGGAATTTAAGAAACAGAATAAAAAAGCATAGGAAAAAATGAGAACCTGTCAAAGCAAGAAACAGACTTTTTTTTTTAATGTTTTATTTATTTCTAGGAGAGAGAGAGACAGCGTGAGCAGGGGAGGGTCAGAGAGAGAGGGAGTGACAGACTGATACAGGCTCCAGGCTCTGAGCTGGCAGTCAGCACAGAGCCCGACGCGGGGCTCGAACCCAAGAACCGCGAGATCATGACCTAAGCGACAGTCGGACGCTTAACCGACTAAGCCACCCAGGTGCCCCAAGAAACAGACTTTTAATTACAGAGAACAGTCTGATGGTTACCAGAGGAGAGGTGGGTGAGGAGATGGGTTAAATATGGAATGGAAATTAATGAGTGCACTTGTGATGAGCACCAGGTATTGTATGGAATTGTTGAATCACTATACTGTACACCTGAAACTAATATTAGAATTAAACTGGAATTTAAATAAAAACTTTAAAATGGGTAAACTATTTGACCACACTCTTCACCAAAGGAGACTTATGAATGGCAAATAAACACACGAGAATGTGCTTGACATCATTATTAATAAGGAAAATGCAAATTCAACAGCAATGAGATACCACTACACACCTATTAGAATGTCTAATATTAGAAGGACTATTGTTATCCAGTGTCACTGAAGATATGAAGGAACTGTAACTCTCATATACTGTCGGTGGCAATGTAAAATGGCACTACCTCTTTGAAAAATAGTTTGACAAGTTCTTTAAAAGTTAAATATATAGCTAACATATTACTAGGTATTTGCCCAAAGAAAAAAAATGTAGGTGTCTATAAAAAGACTTCTACAAGAATGTTCATAACAGCTTTATTTAATAGTAAAAAACTGGAACCACTCCAAACATCCATCAACAGGTAAATGGACAGAAAGTTTGTGGGATATCCTTATAATGAAATACTACTCAGCAATAAAAAGAATGAACTTTTGATAAAAATTGGTACATGGATGAATCTCAAAATGCTTATGCTGAGCTAAGCGGAAGAGGGCAGCAGCAAAAGCATACATATTGTATGATTCCACTTAGATAAACTTCTAGAAGATGAGAATTAATGTGGAAAAAAAAAAAAAAGATCAGTGCTTGCCCTGGGGACAGATCAGAGGAACAAAGAGGAGCAGGAGGGTAAGCACAGGAAACTTCATTATCTTGATAGCTTATCTTAGATAGTTTCATGGGTGTATACCAATGTCAAAAGGATCTTGCCATTCCTCTACTGAATAGCTTCCAATGGATTCTGAAATCACTCACACAAAAATGAAACTCTACTAATGTGGTTAATTTTATGTGTCACCTTGGCTAGGTGACAGTACCCAGATATTTAGTCAAATACAATTCTAGATGTTTCTATGAAGGCATTTTTAAAATGAGATTAACATTTTTTAAAATTTAAACTCAAGTTAGTTAACATATAGTGTAGTACTGGTTTCAGGAGTAGAATTTAGTGATTCATTACTTATATATAACACCCAGTGCTCATCCCAACAATTGCCTTCCTTAATGCCCATCACCTATTTAACCCATCCCCCTACCCACCTCCCCTCTAGCAATCTTTGGTTTCTTCTCTGAATTTAAGAGTCTCATATAGTTTGCCTCCCTCTCGATCATTTTATTTTGATCAGCAGATTTGGAGTAGATTGCCTTCCATACTGCAGATGGGCCTCATCCAGTCTGTAGAGCTTTAAGACTGACTTCCCCCAAAGAAGCAATTCTGCCAGCAAACTGCCTGTGGGTTCAAACTGAAACATTTCTCTGGGTTTCCAGCTTGTCACCTGCCAATTTGGGACTTACCAGCCTCTATAATCACATGAAATAATTCCTTAAAATTCTCCCCCAACACCCCTTTCTCCCACAAACACACACAAACCCTCTTGGTTCTATTTATCTGGAGAACTTTGACTAATACACTTACTACGACCTGAAGTGCATAACAAATCTGGTTCCCTGATATCTCTAAACTTACTGTCTACCACCCACCCCCCAACTCATCCCTGTATAGCTACAGAGGTCCATTTCATGTTCCTGGAATAGGCCTGGTGCCATCTTACCTCAGAATATTTCTAGTTGCTGAACTTCATGCTTCAGATGCTTTTTCCTCAGAAATCCCCATGGATTACTTACCCATCCTCACTAATGTCTTAGTTTTATCTTTCCAGTGAGTTTACCTGGACCACATAGCACTAACTTATAAAGCACCCCTCACCAGAACTCTCATTCCCCCCTCCTTTTTTTTATCTGAGTATAGTTGACACACAATATTACTTTAATTTCAATTGTACAACATAGTGATTCAACAAGTTTACACATTATGCTATGTTTACTATAAGTATAGCTACCATCTGTCCTGATACATTGCTATTACAATGCTATTGACTATATTCCTTATGCTCTGCCTTTTATTCCTATGACCTACTCATTCCATAACTGGAGGGCTATTTCTCCTATTCCCCTTGACCCATTTTCCCACGACCCACCCTCTCCCCTCTGGCAACCATCAGTTTGTTCTCTGTTTATAGGTCTGATTCTGGTTTATGTTAGTTTATTCATTTCTTTCTTTCTTTCTTTTTTCAGATTCTATTTATGAGTTAAATCATAGTGATCCCCCTCCTTAATGCTTCCTTTACCTACAGCAGTTTTTACCTACAAACAAAACTTAGAATTTATTCATTTATTTCAGACACAAAAACTCATCTCCCACAGAGCTTACATTCTAGTAAAGAAACAATGACAATAAAGGAAACAAGTAAAGTTCATGGTGTATTAGAAGGTTGAAAACTGCTATGGAAAAAAAGGAGCATGATGAGTGAGGTCAGGAATGCTGGAATGTAAACTCTACATGGGAATTGATTTGGAGGTCTTTCTCTTTTTTAACTTGCATGTCCAGAGCTTGGACAATTGCCTAGTAGTTATGGTAAATATTTTTGTGTGCGTGAGTTATGAATTCACACATATGTCCTTTCCTTCTTAGAAGTAAAAGCTCTCAGTTTAGGAATAAGACAACACATACTTTCCCAGATTAAAATTAATCAGGCAGATAGAGGCTGTTCTCACCACAAAAATCCAACTTAGAGGGGAAAATCATAATCTTCCTAGCATGGAGAAATTTGGTAATTGGATTGACTCCTCTGTGCACCCCTGTTAACTTCTTGTCACAGGCACAATCAAATTAAAGTTCATTTAAGTTTTAGCAAACCATCAAAAGCACTTTATTATCTAGCTACTGCATTAAGAAGGTAAGCATTCTGGAATTTCTAAAACTAAACATTAGAAATTTGATTGAATATTTGTGGACAATAAACAGGAAATAAGGAGCTGGTTTATATCTCATTTACTTCAACAAATAGAAACTGTGGGTTATAATTAAAAGCTAGGTATGACCAAAGTGAAAAGGGTCAGGTCCTATAACATAGCTCCCTATTTAAAGTGTAGTTGGGAGAATGCAAGAGACATGGATAGTCAACAAACAATTTTGCAAGAAGTCATCTCTAACAAGGTCAGTGGGTAAAATAATACAATTAGGTGATTCTCACTTGGTGAAAAGGATATTGTTTCTAAATATCACCTCCAGAGCCAATTTCAGGTCTCTGTTCCTTAGGCTGTAGATGAAGGGGTTCAACATGGGGCTGACCACTGTGTACATCAGTGAGGCAGTCATGTCTTTGTCATTGTAGTTGCTCAATGCGGAGGAAAAGTACAATGTCATAATTGTTCCATAGAATAAAGACACTACAGAGAGGTGGGAGCCACAGGTGGACAAGGCTTTGCCGATACCTTTGGTAGAGGAGACCTTCAGAATAGAAGCTCCAATGCGTCTATAAGAGACCAGAATGCCAGTCAATGGGAAAATGACAACTGTAGCCCCTGCAGTAAGTATGACCAGCTCATTAAAAGAGGTGTTTGAACAGGACAGCCTGGCTAGGATGGGGAGGCTACAGAAGAAGTGAGCAATGATGTTGTCAGCACAGAAGGACACCTGGGTCAGGAGGAGGGTGTGTAAGAGAGCACTGCTACAGGAGAGAATCCAGGAGCCAGCCACCAGCTGCACACACAGACCCTTCTTCATGATGGTGGTGTAGTATAGAGGGTGACAGATGGCTACATATCTGTCATATGCCATCGCTGCAAAAAGGAGATTATCAACACAACTGAAAATATATAAAAATACATCTGTGAAATACATCCAGGATAGGAGATCGATAGATCCTGAGTCTGCATGTTCATCAACATCTTTGGGACGGTGACAGATGAAAAAGAAACATCAGTGAAGGCCAAGTCGCTGAGGAAGAAGTACATGGGGGTGTAGAGGTGAGAGTCCAGCCTGATAAGAGGGATGATGAGCAGGTTCCCCAGCACCATGGTCAGGTACATGCCCAGGAACAGGGCGAAGAACATGCCCTGCTGCCCTGACCGGATGGGGAGCCCCAGGAGGAGAAATTTGGACATGCTGTTCTGGTTCTCCCTCCTCATGCTGCTTTCTCTCCTCTGGGAATAAAGAGAAATGGGAAATGTCGAGTACTTAAAAATACTAAGCATAGCAATTACTGTGTAGTCACGTATTTTCTCCAAGTAACTATCAACATTCAGGCAAATATTGCCTTGCAATTCACATATGGATGCCTTATCCAGTCTGGTGAGAAGGATGCAATGCGATTTGTCTGAACCTTGATGCAGTCACTTGGGGAAAGTATGTGAGACCAAACTCTTTGGTCAAAATCAGGAACAACTCATTCTTTTTTTATTTTGTTTTTCACACATGTGGAGACACAGTGATAGGCACTAGGAAGAAAGTAATAAATAAGTCCCTTCCTCTGGGGAGCCCACATTCCAGTGAGCAGCCTCACAGCCCTGATGAAGAGAATGGCTCTGTATCTGGACTGCTTTGGAGCTTGCATCTGGTTCTTGCTTATCCTGATTGTTTCTTGCTCTCTCTGTCTCTCTGTCTCTATCTCTACCTTTGTCTCTCTGTCTATCACATACACACATACACATGCTTGCCTCTTAAAGCATTGAGAAGATTAAAGAAACATACCATGTACAATATAGGTCCTTAATACATAAACTCACTTCACACATTAGAATTACTATCATCGAAAAGAAAAGAAGAAAGCAAAGGAAAGGGAAAGAAAAGAAAAAATGGAGAGAGGGAGGAAAGAAGGAAGGAAGAAGGAAGGAAACAAGGAAGGATGGAAGGAAGGAAAAAAGGAAAGAAGGAAGGTAGAAAGCTAGTGTTGGTGAGGATGTGGAGAAATTGGAACACTTGTATATTGCTGGTATACATAAAATGGTGCAGTCATTATGAAAAACACTGTGGCAGTTCCTCAAAAAATTAAACAAAGAATTACCATATAATCCAGAAGTTCCACTTCTGGGTATATATCCAAAACAATTGAAATAATGTTCTCAAACAAATATTTGTACACCCATGTTCAAAGCAGCATTATTAATTTTTTTATGAATATAATTTATTATCAAATTGGCTTACATATAACACCCAGTGCTCATCCCAACAAGTGCCTTCCTCAATACCCATCACCCATTTTCCCCTCCCCCTCATCCACCCCCAGTTTGAGTCTCTTGTGGTTTGCCTCCCTCCCTTTTGGTTTGTAACTATTTTTCCCCCTTCCCTTCCCGCATGACCTTCTGTTAAGTTTCTCAAGATCCACATACGAAATTTGTCCTTCTCTGACTGACTTATTTCACTCAGCATAATATCTTCCAGTTCCACCAACATTGCTACAAATGGCATGATTTCATTCTTTCTCAAAGCAGCATTATTCATGACAGCCAAAGATGGAAACAATGTGTGTCCATTGACAAATGAATGGATAAACACAATGTGTTATGTACATAAAATGGAATGGAAAGAAGGAAATCCTGACCTGCTACAACATGGAAGAACCTTGACATTATGCTGACTAAAATATGTCAGTCACCAAAATATAAATACTGTATGATTCCATTTACATGAGATCCTAGAATAGTCAAATTCATAGAGACAACAAGTAGAATGGTGGTGGCCAGCAGTTAGGGAGAAGGGAAATGAGAAATTACTGTTCAGTGTACACAGTTTCAGTTTGAGAAGATAAAAAAGTTCTGGAAGTAGATGGTGGTGATGGTGTAAATGTATTTAATGCCACAGAGCTGCACTCTTAAAAATTACTTAGGGGCCCCTGGGTGGCTCAGTCGGTTAAGTGTCCGACTTCAGCTCAGGTCATGAACTCACAGTTTGTAGGTTCGAGCCCCGCGTCGGGCTCTGTGCTGACAGCTCAGAGCCTGGAGCCTGTTTCAGATTCTGTGTCTCCCTCTCTCTCAGATCCTCCCCTGCTCACTCTATCTCTCTCTCTCTCTCAGAAATAAATAAAAAACATTTTAAAAATTACTTAAATAATAAATTTTATGTTATGCATATTTCATCAAAATAAAAAAATTTAAGTTGGAAAATATATCAACATGAGTTAATAAATAAAGATAGCAGTCAAGGGGTGTTTTGCTGGCTGAGTTGGTAGAGAGCATGAGACTCTTGATCTCGAGGTTGTGAGTTCAAGGCCCACATTAGGTGTAGAGATTACTTAAAAATAAAATCTTTTTAAAATAAATCTATCAAAAGGAGGGTGACCAAACAAATTAAATAAATAAACTCACTGTTTTGGAAGGATGAGTGACCTAGATCACAGGTCAGGAATTAAAGACAACGGAGGTATGAATAGGCCATCAAGCAAGATCAAATAGCTTACTGAAAATGTGTGTTTACTTCTGTGGTCTCTCTCACACATTCAGGGAAACAGTGAAGGCCCAAACCAGGGCCCCTAAAGAATACTTCATCCACAGCAGTTGACTTACCACATTTTAAATAAATTTGCCAATAAATAACTTCTTCATGTCTGCCATCATCCCCTTCTATCTCCAGTGCTTCAAAATGGCTGAGTTCTTTTTTTTTTTTAAGTTTATTTATTTATTTTGAGAGAGAGACAACCAGCAAGGAGGGGTAGAGAAAGAGGGGGACAGAGGATATGAAGTGGCCTTGTGCTTACAGTAGAGAGCCCAATGCAAGGCTCAAACTCATGAAATGTGAGATCATGACCTGAGCCCAAGTTGGACACTTAACCGACTGAGCCACTCAGGCACCTCCAAAATGGCTGAGTTCTAAGCATATATGCAATGTGAGTGACATGAGAATTTGCCCAATGATGTGGCTAGGGAATCAAAATATTACAGATGCTATTGGACTGAGGAGTTATGTCAGAATTCATTGTCATCTGAGTAACTAGACAAAGTTCCAGAATTAACTACACCATGTTACCCAATGTGGAAATGTAGAAATCACTAAAGATCAATGAAGAAAACTTGGGGCCCTGGAGAAATTCAGTAGCCTTTAAACCACATGGACAAATTGCCACCAACTTAGCATAAAGAGGACTTTGCTTAGAGCTTCCTGTTTATGTCTAAGACTGAGAAAAGAGAAGAGTCAGACTATGATGCTGTTTCCCTAGTTCGAATGTATATACATATTGCTATGTCCCACATATATGTGTGTTAGGCACAAAAACAGACACACAAAGTAACACAGAAACAAACCCAAGGTGCTGTGCTTTGGCTCTCTCTGACCTATACTCATCTCTAGTTGAAAGTGTAGAAGTTTGCGGGGTGCCTGGGTGGCTTAGTCGGTTAAGCGTCCGACTTTCGCTTAGGTCATGATCTCGCTGTTTGTGGGTTTGAACCCCGCGTCGGGCTCTGTGCTGACTGCCAGCTCAGAGCCTGGAGCCTGTTTCGGAGTCTGTGACTCCCTCTCTCTCTGACCTTCCCCTGCTCACACTGTCTCTCTCTCTCTCTCTCCTGGAAATAAATAAAACATTAAAAAAAAAAATTAAAAAAAAAAAAGAAAGTGTAGAAGTTTGCATGGGTTCATACCAACTTGCATTCATCTTTAAGATGAAACATTTTGTCACACATAACTTTCAAAAGCATGCAGAAGGAACCCTTCTGTGCTGTTTCTGGGGCTCTAAAATGCTCAGCTGCTATGGAAAACAGAATGGAGTTTCCCTGAAACATTAAACAGAACTCCACATGATTTTGCCATCCCACTTCTGGGTATATAACAGAAAGGACTGAAATCAGGATCTCAAAGATATATCTGCACTTCCATGTTTACTGCAGTCCTGTGCACAATAATTAAGTTGTGGAAACAACCCAAATGTCCATCAACAGAAGAATGGATAGATAAAACATGGTATAAACATACAATGGAATATTATTCTGCCTAAAAAATGAAGGAAATCCTTCTCTTTGTGACAACATGGATGAACCTGGAGGGACATTATGCTAAATGAAACAAGCCAGTTACAGAAGGACAAATATTGCCTAATTTCACTTTTAAGAGGAATCTAAAAGAGTCAAACTCATAGAAACAGAGAATAAATGGTAGTTACCAATGGAGTGTGGGGGAAAAGGTAGAGCTGTTATTGATATAAAGTTTCGGCTATTCAAGGTGAATTAGTTCTAGAGGCCTGCCATTCAGCATAGTGCCTGTAGTCCACAGTACTTTATTGTGCACGTCAAAATTCATGAAAAGAGGAGATCTCATTTTAAGTTATTTTAACCACAAAAAAGAGGGGGCACAAGTGAATTTTGAGACCTGATGGATATGTCTGTTGCCTTGGTTGTGGTGATACCTTCAAATGTGTATGCATATGTCCAAACTCATTAAATTGTATACATTAACTTTGTACAGATTTTTGTACTAATTACACCTCAATAAAGCTGTTTAAAAAATCATACACTCGGAGTGCCTGGGTGGCTCAGTCAGTTAAGCGTCCAACTTCAGCTCTGGTCATGATCTCACGATTTGGTGGGTTCAAGCCCCGCATTGGGCTCTGTGCTGAGGAATAGCTCGGAGCCTGGAGCCTGCTTCACATTCTGTGTCTCCCTCTCTCTCTGACCATCCCCTGCTCACGCTGTCTCTATCTCAAAAATAAATAAAACATTAAAAAAAAAAAGGCCTTCCTGGAGTCTGTCCTTTATTTAAAAATAAATAAATAAATAAAAATCATATACTCAGCATAATATCTTCCAGTTCTATCCAAGTTTCTGCAAATGTCATGATTTCATTCTTTCTCATTTGCAAGTAGTATTCCATTGTATATATAAACCACATTTTCATTATCCATTCATCAGTTGATGGACATTTAGGCTCTTTCTATAACTTGGCTATGTTGAAAGTGCTGCTATGAACATTGGGGTACATGTGCCCCTAAGCATCAGCACTCTTGTATCCCTTGGGTAAATTCCTAGCAGTGCTATTGCTGGGTCATAGGGCAGTTCTATTTTTAATTTTTTGAGGAACCCCCATACTGTTTTCCAGAGCAGCTGCACCAGTTTGCATTCCCACCAACAGTGCAAGAGGGTTGGTATTATGCTGAATGAAGTAAGTCAGTCAGAGAAGGACAGATATCATATGTTTTCACTCATATGTG